TATTCATGTATATATATTTGCATGTTTGCCAACAACAGCAAACCCTTTTCTTCCGCATGTTTGCCAACAACAGCACAACGCTTTTCTTTGCCTGTTTGCCAACGACAGCAAGCGTTCTGTTTTATTTTTCATGCTTGCCAACGACAGCAAACGTTTTGTTTTTATTTTACATGTTTGCCATCAACTGCAAACACTTAATATTTGTTTGTCTGTTTGTACCTATAAATTTACATTCTGCCAACAACAGCAAATGTTTTCTTTTATTTACATGCTTCCCCACAACATTTATTTACATGCTTACATGAAAACGCTTAATGGTTTTTCTCTTCTTTTATATATATATTTGCATGTTTGCCAAACAACAGCAAACGTTTTGTTTTGTTTTGCATGCTTGCCAACAACAGTAAACATTTGGTTTGTTTGTTTTTTGTTCACCTTGCCTGTTTGCCACCAAGAGTAAAGGCATAACTAGACGTGTTATGGCGACAACAGCAGACGCTTTTTTATGTATGTATACGTATGTATAGCCCTGGAAAACTATCTCCATATTTTATTTGAATATATAAACCATAACAAGAAAACATTTTGTATTTACTATGTGAATTTCCATAAATGCAGCACACTATCTCCATATTTCATGTGAATTTATGAACCATGGCAAGGAAGATTTTGCATTTGCCATTTGAGTTTGCATAAACACAGCAAACTGCCACTATATTTACCATTGCAGTTTGCATGACAGAACATTTGACATGTTTGCATTTAGCTAGAAACATCACCACAGTATGCTATCTAGGTATTTACCGATTTATATTGCAAACATTGGTTCTGCAGATTCAGCTTATATGTTTTAGATTCTGCAGATTTGTTGCAAAGCCACAGTAAACTATTCTACATTTACCAAGCAGAGTGTGCCTAATGTTAGTAAATTCATTGTAAAATGTAAAAGAGATTTGCATAATTACAGCAAACCAATTCTATATATATATATATATATATATATATATATTGGGCAAGTTAAGTATTAACAATATAGCACGTTTTACATTGAACCAAGAAGTTCGCTCTCAACAAAAAGGCTTGCCTAAAGTAGCAAAATACAGATTGCTCGAACCAATCAATTTGCACCAGAACAAAAGGGGGCACACAATGCATTCATAAATTGGCAATAACAACAAACATTTGATGCATTTGCCGACCATGATTGATGAAAACAGAGAGCAAATTTGCCAGCCCATTTTTTCTAAATTGTTTAGCTCTGCTGTTATACAAATTACATCAAAATACCTGTATTACAATAAGTTTTGTTTTTTTGTTTTTGTTTTTTTTTTGTTGTTTGTTGAAAATATAGCGTGTAGTTAGTTGGAAGTTTGTTGCCATGGTGACTAGTGGCACTTATAATAATGTAATAAGATATCTTCAAAATGCAACAAAAGCTACTATATTTCAGCATA